ACCCTATGTAAAGCAGCGGCTTGTAGATGGTTCGCATTTGATTCTGGAAATGAAGCGCCGAATCGGTTGCTCCCTGTGGCACTCTAAATGGCATTTAGACTCCATCGGGAGTCATAAAACTGAACGGAGGCTTGAGATATGCGCCGCCCTCTGTTTTTCTTTTGGTAATAGAGTCGTGATTGCCCTGCGTGGTCACTTGGAGCATAGTATTGAATCATATTCGAAATCTGTCCGATAGTTGTATCAGCAGGCTTATGGAAAAGTTTGCTGTTGACAGCAAGAGTGCAGCGGGACTGTCGTAGCTTTGCGCTTGAGGAAGCGTCTTTGGGTCACTGACCTTACGTTCTTTACTAGAACCCAGTACTAGTGCAGCGGATAGCAATTCGCTGTCTCTAAAAATACTAAAAGCCTTGACAAAGGCAAACAAGTGAACAGAAGTGTTCAAAATCGAAACTGATATTTATTTATATCTGTATCCTAATGTTAAAGGTTTAGATTTCCTAATTATACTAAATAATATTTATTAATTTGTAACCCCGTTACAAAGAGCGTGACGTGGTTAGCTTTCACCTGAACATCCAGGTCGTCGTTTGTAGTTGGTAAAATAAAGCAATAAACGACCTTCTAGTCTGACGTCTGCTTAACTAAAGTCTGAGTGTAAAGCTGTTAGCAATGTGTTTTAACCACCCAGTATGCTAAATTAGTACGATACTGATCGTGACTTTCGCCCAAAGGTACGTCCTCTGGGGAGATTATAGATCTGTTTAATCGTTACTAAACTGGATGCAGGCAATGCTCCTGCTGATAAATGTTTCTATATGACATAATGCTTGAGGTTTCTCCAAGTGCTTCTTTGCACTCACAGTGAGTGAATAGTGGCTGAAATATGGAATACATAATTACGACTCTGCTAAAGTCGCGATAATTATCGCGCTGTTTTACGGGCGAGCTTGGCTACCCGGCCAGGCCAGCTAGTTAATAAGGGATAAATGACATCGTGGGTCCCTCGACGGAAATTTATATCAACTTCCGCCGCAAGAAATGGGCATAGACGCAAAACTCGTGCAGAGGAGAGATAGAGGTAGAGAGCACCTCATTTTCGGAGAGCGAACTTTGGTTTGTCTCTTTGGTAAGGGATGAATATCGGGTATTGGGACCTTGAGAGTCACTGCAACAATTTAGAGCGGGAAACATTTCGGCTCCCTTACCAAGCATAGCTCGTAGATTGTCAACTCAGATGCCGCGCTTTTACGGCTCTTGTGCGCGTGTTGAGGAAACGACTGTCAATGCTTATAACGCCCGTAGAGCAGGCACTGTTACTTTCGGGCGAAGTTGGACTACTTCGATTGTGTTACATTTTTCAGCAGTGAGTTAGGTAACGGGGTTCGTCCCCCCTTATGTTGCTTCACTGTTGTGACAATTGCTTGAAGACGTTCTGACCTTTAACGATTTCGCAATCGTTAGTTCACAATTTGCACTGTCTCTGCTCCTTCGCTGGTTTAGCAAAAAAGGCAATTTGTCGACGAAAATGGTAGTTTCATTCAGCTCGAAGGGGCCATATCCTGTGCGAGAGCCTACAGCACTGCTCAATACGGGGGCAGGAATCATTATTTGTGTTTCTGACCCTGCGAGGGGGGCGAGTTCTTTTATGCATTGCTCGCGACTTCTAACAAAACCTGCACTGATTACTGACAAGAATGGGACTGGAAATACTCAATTGACGGGAAAGCCGTCGCGTGTTGCCGTCGCGGCTCGACCAGGCAAACAGAATGAAGAGCTGAAAGATAGCATCGTGTATGTAAAGAAGACTTTGCGCAGCTCGCCGCGTATCATTTAGCCTATACATGGTAGGCAAACAAGACTAATATTATATACTTTTTACGCGTAGGTCGAGGAGTTCCTCTTCTAATCTTAATCAAATTCTCCTCATTACGAGCGCAGAACAACAAAGCGCATTTATTTACAAAATCGTGGTAAGCCGATCGTAATCCACAAGCTCGCCACAATCGGTCCCAAAAACAAGATGCCGATCGTTAAATTTGGCCGAGATAAATCGTGAGGTGGCAGATGTGGGTCCGAACCATCGTACCGGGTTAGGCTCATACCATCTCCAAAGAGCTGCCTACACAATCACAAAAACAGAAATTAGTATTTGAAATGAAGCAAAGCACCGTCGTCATGCACCTCACCTTGCCGGTTGATGACACACTAACTAGCTTACGGTTATCAAATTGAAGCGCCTTAACACCGCCGTGCTCGTGATTGCTAAATGTACACAAGGATTGTTGAGTTCTAACATCCCAGGCTTCCATGCCCTGCTCTGTGTAACCTGCAACAACCACAGTCTCATCCATCTCGAGCGCCGAGATGGTTCCTTCACACAAGGCTGACTTCGTCAAGATTTTCGCGCACTTCCCCCCCCACCAGCGGACAGTGCCCTCATTGCCAGCAGACCATAAAACTCTTCCTTTAGTATCTGCGTTGACGACAGCGCCTAATTATTGAAGTATATTCAGCAGCGCAAATTTTTTTATAATTTTTAAGCAATGGCGAAAATAAAAAAACGCTTGACGACTACATACCTGGGTGGCCAGCAAGTCGGTGTGTGAGTCGACTGCTACGCATATCAAAAACCCGGATAAGACCACATGATGTACCACAAACGAGAGTATTACGCAGCAGCATCATGCTCGTAATTTGAGGGCATGCCTCTCTCTGCGAACGTGGCAGCATTGATTTGTGAATTTTACTAGATGGGATTGACATGATAATTTCTCCTTTCGCAACATCCCAAACATTTGCCTCTCCTTTCTCTGTCGACGTCGCCAGATGCAAGAATGTTCCCTCGTTGTGGTCGATTCGAACGTTGACTACTTTATCCTTCGCCCGCGTTCGAATAAAGGGAACCATTCCGAGGCTGGAACGATGGGATATCGATGTTGTTGGTGGAGCGTTCGTTATAGTTGTTGTATCAAGATTGCGACTTTCCAGGGACGAAAAGCTCCAAATTTTGACCACACCGTCTGTACAGCCAACAGCTAAGGCTTCATCACAGACATCGTAGCACGTGGCATTTGGTTGTGTCATCGAAGCGCGAAGACGCTGTTTCTCCAGCGACCACGAGTAAAAGGTTGCACGTTCATCGTCAATTGCACCCGAAACTAACTACAGGCAGAAGTGAAATCGAATTTTATGAAATCAAACCTCATCTACTACATCGTGCAACACACCTAGTGACTTACTCGTGCCTCTTGGCTTCGAACGTATCGGTTGTTTAGCAGCACTGGGTTTTCAAATGCTTTGGAAAAACTTCTATGCGCCTCGTTCTTTAATTCCAGTACCTCCTCTAGATTAAATGTCCGCGGAGGCCTATCAAACCACTCGTTCTCCGCTGTCATATACTTTAAGTCATGTACGTACTCCCGCATCGACGTGCGTTCATTCAGTAAACAAGCTCGAATTGCAGGAGGCGACCCTCGCCGATTCACATTGCTGCATCAATATTTACGTCTTTCATTTCAATAGTTTGCCATCAAATGATGAAGAAAAAAAATATCTTACGGCGAAGGTGCGTCCACCTCTCGATAACAGTAGTTTGCAGCACGACGGAAACAGTTAATCAGAAGCGGTTCGTAAGGAACTTCAGCTGATATTTCCCAGACTGATGGCTTCATCATTTCCCTTGCCCAATTTCGATTCAAGCATACTATACCAATCAACAGAGAACATGCGCGAGGAATACTTACTGTCAATGCGCAAGCTTTCCTTTCCAGCATTGTTGAGTATCCATTTTTGATGATATATTACTACGCACCGAGCAGTCGCGTATCTACAGACCCCACAAAGGCTACTAGACGCGCCAGTAGTGTTGGATTTCCCAACAGCACGTTCATAGAACTGGGCGTCAGAACTTTGATATTGGCTTGGTCGGTCATCGTCACTTCTCTCCTAATTCCCGGAAGGTAAGGGGGAGGAAGTGGCTAATTTTTTGCCGAGTAATGGATGTACATGAACTAGTGACATGCCAGTAAAGCTAGCATATATCTCTAAATTTGCAAAAGCTACTATAGTTGTATCAATAATAAGAGGTCCAGGTACGCAGGAAAAACGACACAGGCTACCACGATGTCATCAAGCGAAGAGGAACTGGATCGAAATTTGTCTGAAGATGAAGATATATCGGAAGACGAGATTCCAGAGGAAGAAGATGATGAAGACGATGAAGAGGAGGCGCCCGTAAAGAAGCGCAAGGTCTTAGGTAGCAAGCCGAAGCCTAAGAAGCGCCGAAAGCCCGTGAACAAGTTTATTGAGGAGGAAGCTGACGTGGATGAAGATGAAGAAGAAGAAGAAGATGACGACGATGACTTTTACCGCTCGGAACGCCAGATGGCCGAGGAAGTTGAGGCTGGCCACGCTTACCGCTACGAGCCTCAGGATCGCGCGCAGTTCGATGAGTCAGAGAGTGCTGAGGCTATTGTCAACCGCATTAAGAAGCGCCACCAGCAAAGTCGCAAACAATATGACGGTGATGAAGAGGGTGGCGATGTTATTCAGAGTGAAGTGGCGCAGCAGTCGCTTCTGCCGTCCATTCAAGATCCACGTATGTGGGTGTTTAAGTGCAAGCCTGGCCGCGAGCAACCTCTTGTGGTAGCGCTCATGAATAAATTTATTGAATTCTCGCGTCGTGGCGAGCCTCTCATGGTCAAGTCTGTGGTGGCATCCAGCTCGAAGGGCTTTATTTACGTGGAGGCGGAGCGAGAACCGCATGCTAAAGATTGTCTGAATGGTCTGCGCGACGTACAGCAGTGGTCAATGAAGCTAGTGCCGATTCATGAAATGACGTCGGTTTTAAACGTTCAGACACGGAGAAAGCCGCTGGTTGCTGGCGCATGGGCTCGAATGAAGCGCTCAGGATTGTACAAAGGAGACCTTTGTAAGGTGATTGAAATTCTTGATAACGGAGCGCGTGCTGTCGTAAAAATGATCCCGCGTCTCGATCCTATTGTACTGGGTGGAGGCGAGCAAATCAGGTACAAAAAAGGCCAACGACCGCCACAAAAGCTTTTTAAAACG